TAGTTCTTCCCCAGAAGAGGAGGACAAACACGAATCTCCCTGAGGTTGTGAGCCTGCCCTCCTGCTCTGACCTGGTGCCCTTACTCCTCCTCCAGCTACAGGCAGTCTGCCTAGCAATACAGACTCACTCCATTTGGCCCGACCAATACAGGACTAGCTTTCCTTTGAGACCAAGCAGCGTCCATTTGTACTTCCCTTCTGGCTTCAAGGTAGAGTCCTCACACTGCTGGCACTCACACTGCTCACACCGCTAGTCCACCCGTCCTCCCAAGAACGAGAGTTGATTTCCTCTTGAGCTTTGGACACAAGCTCTTCCTTACTCTCTAGGGACATGATCCTGGTCACGATAGCCACACTGTGTACTTGTTAACTGTGAATAAAATGTCATTTTGAACCCTCAGTGTTAACAGCAGGATTACATCTACAGCACACAGGGTGACCCGTGCAAACCCAACAGTAAAGCCGATGTTATTACAAGACTGCAGACTGCCATAGTGAATATTGTGAAAAGCTCTAGAACTCAGTCTCTGCCTTGCAGGTCTCAGTCTCCTGCACAACACACCTCAGGGCATTTCTAGGTGCTTGAGGTTAGACAGAGACATGGATGTCACTTCAGCTAGGAACAATCTAACAGGAGCAGAGACGCCCCTTCCCAGGGCTCATGCTTCTTCTGAAGCTCAGTTCCAAGACACCTTAGGGAGCCAGAATGGATGCTGAGGGGCTCCTGCTGCAACAGGAGCCCTGGTGACTAGGTGCACCCCTTAGTGGAGGGTCACAGCCTCCTTCTGGCTTCTAGAGGATTCTGTACTTAGCAATGTTAAGCAAGAGCCCCTCTGGCCTTGGTGCCTCATTTGCAGCCCAGGGCCAGAGTCCCTGCCCTCATCTTGCCTGCACAACAAGGCAACAGTATGAGCTAGCCCATGTACTCTTGACTCTGGCTGTGCAGTGGAAACCAGGCTGCAGACAGTGCTGGCTGAGCATCACAGTCTCTCCAGCCACGCCAGCCTGGCTCTGGCTCTGCCGCCTCCCCTGGACTCCTGGAGCTGCTTCATCATCTATGCTCCACAGTGAAGGTCCCTGCTCCTGCACTGGCTGCAATCCCTGGCCCATTAGGTATCTGTGGAGTTAGACACAGTGAGGTAGTCATGGCAGACCACTGTCTTCAACCCTATGGTGGCCTTGGTAGTCATGGCAGTATTGCACTATGAGGGCATTTGGAAGGATGTATGGACACGTTGGTTCCTATAAAATGTCTAAACCTGGTCAAAGTCAGTGGCATATGGACACCGTGATGTCCTCATGCCATATCTGAGCCCATTCATATAGAGAATACACAGGTATGTTGCCCCCCCCATGCCATTTCAATACCTGGTCATGAAGGACTGGATGGGCATGTTGGGGCTAATGCCATTTTTGAGCTCAGTCATATGTAGGGTATGTGAGCATGTTGACCCCATGCCATTTCTAAGTCTTATCAAATAACAGGTATGTGGGCATGTTAGCATCCATGCCCTATGGGTTAAATGGAACATGTTGATTGACATGCCATTTCCAAGCTCAGTCATATGGAAGTGTGTGTGGGCATATTGTGCCCAAACGATTTCTGAGCCTGGTCACCCAAGGGGTATATGGGCAATTGAACTCTATGCCTTTCCAAGACCTTATATGTGGGTGTGTATGAGCATATAGCTTCATTCTGTTTCAATCATGGTAAAATGCTGGGGTGTATGGGCATGATGGAGTCAATGCAATTTCTGACCCATCCTATGATGGGGTTTCTGCGCATATGGGCCTCCATCCCATGTCAGAGCCTGGCCATATGGGAGAAGGTTTTGGAATGTAGGTGCCTGTGCATTTTTGAGTGGGACTATATGGGCATATGCCATTTGTGACCCCTGTCAGAAAGGAGAGTTACAGGCATTTTGGCCCCATGCCATTTTCTATCCTAATCATATTGGAGGTACATGTTGGCCCCCATGCCATTTCCAAACCTGGTTATATGTGGGGCTTTAAAAGCTTGCTGACCCCATGACATTTCTGAGACTGGATATATAGAGAGGTATTTGGGCATGTTGGCCTCCGTGTAATTTCTGAGCTTGACCATACATGTAGGGTATATGGTTATGTTGGCCCCATGCCATTTCCAGCCCATTTATATGGGGAGGGGATATGAACATGTTGGTCCCCATGTCATCCACAAGCCCAGTCACACAGGAAGGTATATGGGCATGCTGGTTCCCATGCCATCTCAGAGCCCAGCCTTATGAGTGTAGGCGTATACATATTGGCTCCCTAAGTATTCCTCATCCTGGCCATATGATGGTGTTTTTATGCATGCTGGCCCACAAGCCATTTCATATGCATCCCTGTCACATGGAGATGTGTGCGGACATGTGGGCACCCATACCATTTCTAAGTGTGATGTAGGAAGGTCATCTGTCTATATGTTAATTTTATTGGTTAATAAAGAAACTGCCTTGGTCTTTTAATAGGCTAGCCCTTAGGCAGGTGGAATAGATAGAACAGAATTCTGGGAGGAAGAAGGCAGTGAGGCAGATGCCATAGCTCTCCTCTCTGAGATGGATGCAGGTTAGGATCTTTCCCGGTAAGCCAACACCTCATGGTGCTACACAGATTACTAAATATGGGTTAAAACAAGATGTGAGAATTAGCCAATAAGAGGCTGGAACTAATGGACCAGGCAGTGTTTAAGAGAATACAGTTTGTGTGTTGTTATTTTGGGTGTAAAGCTAGCCGTGCAGGAGCCAGGCGAGACGAAAAGCAGGCCTGCCCACAGCTCCTTCTATACAAGTGACATAATATGGTCATGTTGACCCTGTGGTATTTCTGAAGTGAAGAGGCATGTGCTGACCACCGGTTGGTGGCTCCGAGACACTGCAAACATGCAAACAAATATTCCCAGGCCACCAGTGGCAGTGCTGACACACAGCAAGTGTGTACCAGGTGTGTGCAAGGAGCCACGTGGCTGCCCTTGAGACATAGCACGTGTGACAAAGAGTGCCTAGGTCACTAGATGGCAGCACTGGGATGTGTGAGAAGTCATGCCCGGGCTGCCAGGTAGCAGAGCAGCACTGGCACATGGTGAGTGTGTGAATGGGTGTTCCCAGGCCTGTAGGTGGTGGCACTGGGACAGGGCAAATGTGCAAACGTGTCTTGGGACACCACAGGCATGTGAACAGGTGTGCCCAAGCCACCACATGGTGGTGCTGGAACACGGCATGCATTGCTAACAGCTGTGCCCAGGCTGCCAATTGGAGGCCCTGGTGCACAGTGGGTGTGCCGGCAGTGTGCCCAGGCTGTAACTTGTCAGTAATGGGGCACAGACAGGTATGCAAACAGGCATGTCAAAGCTCACACATTGTAGTCCCAGGACATGGTATCGTGTGGGCAGATAAAGGTGGGGAGGTTCCACTGAGAGTTCCCAGTCCAGCTCATAAGCAACAGGACAGTCTCTTTCTCAGAACACTAACCTTGAGAAGCAGATTCTGTGTTGTGAGGAGGCCCTGGGTGCGGTAGGAGACCACACAGTCGTGGCTAAGGGCTCAGTCAACAGCCTCCATCAGATGCCAGACACGGGGAAGTGCTTAGATGGCTCTAAGCTGGGCTTCCCAGCCACTTACTAATGCCAGGAGCCATGGTCCTGCCCCGCTGAAGCCTGGCTGAAGTTCAAAGTCCTGGTTAAAATAAATTCTATTTTATGGCACTAAATTTTGCAGTACTTTGCTACATGATTGTATCAGCTACATGTTCACTGGAGTGACCGATATGTTGGGGGATATCATTTTCAGGTGTGTGACTTTGGTTTACGCTGCATTTGTTTAACTCTGTAAGTTGTGTTTCTGTGCCTGTCTAACACAATGGTCTGATAAAGAGCTGAGTGGCTGGGCAGGAGCAAGGACAGGAGGGGCTGGCAGGCAGCGAGAATAAATAGAAGGAGAACCAAGAAGTGAGAGCAAGAGAACAAGGAGAGAGGACATCAGGATCCAGCCACCCAGCTCTACAGGAAGTCATGGAGAAAGAGGTAAAGAAAGGTATACAGAAATAGAGAAAGGTAAAAGCCCAGAGACAAAAGGTAGTTAAGACAAAATAAGTTAAGAAAAACTGACAAAAAACAGGCCAAACTAAGGTTGGGCATTCAAAACTAAGAATAAGCCTCTGTGTGTGGTTTATTTGAGAGCAGCGTGGTGGGACCCTCAAAAAGACAAAAGAGGGGGCTGGAGAGATGGCTCAGTGGTTAAGAGCATTGCCTGCTCTTCCAAAGGTTCTGAGTTCAATTCCCAGCAACCACATGGTGGCTCACAACCATCTGTAAAGAGGTCTGGCGCCCTCTTCTGGCCTTCAGGCATACAGACAGAATATTGTATACATAATAAATAAATAAATAAATAAATATTTTAAAAAAGACAAAAGAGTAAAACATCACATAACACAGATACCTGGCAGAAGCGTCTCAAGGGAAGAAGCTTTTATTTAGTGCAGTTTTAGGGGACACAGTCCATTCTGGGTGAGAGGGTTTGGTGACAGGAGGGGGCTGGTCACACTGTGTACCCAGTCAGGAAGCAGAGTGGGGCAAACGCTGTTGCTCAGATCACTTTGAGAAGGCAAGGAAGGACCCAGTATCTGGCTGAGTTCATGATACACCTGCTGGCTGAGACTCAAAACAAACCCTGTAAACTCCTCTGTCAGGTCCCAGGGTGGAGGGTCTGGGGTCCACCGCCCCTCTGTCCATGCCTCTGCCACTCCTGGGGAAGCTCACCTGGGGCTGGCACTGTTTCTCTCTGTGGGTTGTAGTCGCCACTACGGGCGTTTATGGATATAGATGCATCATTTAGAATTTAAATTTCTTTGTACTAGAAACACCCAAGCAGTAGTTTCAAATATGAAATCCATTGCTCTCACACGAGTTAAGCCAGGGTTCGGTCCTGGTTGTCACAATGACTCTGTGGTGACCAAGACTCCGGGCTTCTTCTGTGACTGTGCTACATCTCAATCATGGTCACTACTCCAGGGTACTTCAGGGTGCAATATGGCTGCTGGGGCTCTTGCCACCATGCCAGCATTGCCGACAGCTGAAAGAAAGAACAAGGCGAAGAGGAGCACACTCCATTCCCGAAGTCACATCCCAGAAGCTGTTGTACAGCCTATTGCTCTCAAACCATCTAGCCACCTCTAGCTGGAAGGCACAGAAAATCATGCTTAAAATCAGAGTCCTGAGAAGGAAGATCCAGCAGTCCTGTCCTCATCACACCGCATAACCTGAGTGAAAGGTTTCAGATGAGATGTCTGGTGATTGGACCCCGCGTTCTCCTTCTTGGCCCTGCCTCCAGCTTCGGCCCTTGATGCAGCGTAGGGAGCAGGTGCACGTGTCCCTTGGCATCTCGAGCAGGGACAGGATCATTTTGATGATCAGGGCCTGCCAGGCCATCCCAAAAAGGATCCACAGGGAGACGATGTTCTTGTACCACACGGGGTACTTTCGAGAGGGGTCCATCCCTGGGGAAGAGGCAAGGCCAGAGGAGGTGGGGGCTAGAGAGACAGAAGCTGGGAGGCCTAAGTGATGAGTGCAAAGCAGGAAGCCCACAGACTTGACATTCCCAGCCTGTGGCTGCCCGTCTGGGATTCCAGGAAGCCGCTGGGATGAGCTGGCACCTTCTATCTGGAGATGAATCTTTTCTAGAGTTTCTCAAAGTGCTCTTGGGTAGGCAGAATAAACAGTAAAAATGGCAATTTTACCAAAAGCAATCTACAGATTCAATGCAATGCCCCTCAAAATCCCAGCAAAATTCTTCAAAGATCTTGAAAGAACGCTACTCAACTTCATATGGAAAAGCAAAAACCCAGGATAGCCAGAACAACTTCTGGGGGCATCACAATCCCTGACTGCAAACTCTACTACAGAGCACAGTACTGAAAACAGCCTGGTATTGGCATAAGAACAGACAGGAGGACCAATGGAACCGAATAGAAGACCCAGATATCAATCCACACATCTTCAAACACCTGATCTTTGATAAAGAAGCAAAAATGGAAAAACGATAGCATATTTAACAAGTGGTGCTGGCATAACTGGATATCAACATGTAGAAGAATGAAAATAGACCCATGTCTATCACCATGCACAAAACTCAAGTCCAAATGGATCAAAGACCTCAACATAAAGCCAGCCACACTGAACCTTATAGAAGGGAAAGTGGGAAGTATACTTGAACACATTGGCACAGGAGACCACTTCCTAAATATAACCCCAGTAGCACAGACACTGAGAGAAACAATTAATAAATGGGACCTCCTGAAACTGAAAAGCTTCTGTAAAGCAAAGGACATGGTCAACAAGACAAACAACAGCCTACGGAATGGAAAAAGATCTTCACTAACCCCACATCAGACAGAGGTCTGAGCTCCAAAATATACAAAGAACTCAAGAAACTGGACACCAAAAGATAACATAATCTAATTAAAAAATGGAGTATAGACCTAAACAGAGAACTCTCAATCTAAAATGGCTGAAAGACACTTAAGGAAATGTTCAACATCCTTAGTCATCAGAGAAATGCAAATCAAAACAACTCTGAGATTCCATCTTAGCCCTGTAAGAATGGCCAAGGTCAAAAGCACTGATGACAACTTATGCTGGAGAGGTTGTAGGGAAAAGGGAACACTTCTGCATTGCTCTTGGGAATACAAGCTGTTACAGCCCCTTTGGATGTCAGTGTGGCGATTTCTCAGAAAATTAGAAAACAACCTTCCTCAAGACCCAGTAATACCTCTTTTGGGTATATACCCAAAGGATGCTCAATCGTGCCACAAGGACATGTGCTCAACTATGTTCATACTAGTTTTGTTTGTCATAGCCAGAACCTGGAAACTACCTAAATGCCCCTCAGTCGAAGAATGGATGAGGAAAATGTTACATTTACACAATGGAGTACTACACAGAAGAAAAAAATAATGACAGCTTGAATTTTGCAGGAAAATGGATGGAGCTAGAAAACACTATTTTGAGAGAGGTAACCCAGATACAGAAAGACAATTATCAAATGTACTCACTCATAGGTGGTTTTTATACATAAAGCAAAGAAAGCCAGCCTACAAACCACAAATCCCAGAGAACTTAGACAACAATGAGGACCCTAAGAGAAACTTACATAGATCGAATCTATATGAGAAGTAGAAAATAGAAAAAGACAAGATCTCTTGAGTAAATTGGGAGCATGGAGACCTTGGGGGAGGATTGAAGAGGGGAGAAGAGAGACAGGGATGGGAGCAGGGAAAAATGTAGAGCTCAATAAATATCAATAAAAATGGGTAATAATAATAGTAATAATCAAGACACAAAGGACAACCAGAAAGACAAAAGAAATCTCTGAGATGCCTCATAGGCTACAATTTTGCAAGCCTCCAGGAGAGGCATTGCTGGTTCTGTTTCCTGCATCCAGCTTTTATTTTCTGTTTATTAAAAATATTTTTAAAATGTATTTTAATGTGTACTGATGTTTTGCCTTCATGTATGTCTATGTACTGCCTGCATGCTATGTGCCTGGAGAGGTCAGAAGAGGATGCCTGATCCCCTGGAACTGGAGTTGCAGGTGGTTGTGAGACACATGTGGATGGTGGGAACTGAACCCGTGTCCTCTGCAAGAGCAGCCAGTGCTCTTCATGTAGTCCTTTTTGACCTTGAACTTCCAATTCTCCTTGCCTCTGTCTCCTGAATTCTGGGATTATAGGTATTTGCCACCACAGCCAGTTACATGACACTAGGATCAAGCCAGGGCCTCAGGCATGTTAGTTAGGTGGGAGCTCGTCCCTCTGTGCCACAGCCTCATCCCGTCTGCTTCATTGTCACCTGGGATGAAATGGGGCCAGTCGTGGGAGCCAGGGTGTTTGGGAAGGAGTGTGGAGTTGCTGGAGATGTGCCCTGCTTCAGTCCCTAGCATCCACGATTGACATCTGAGTACCCCATACCTGTTTAGAGACAGACTGATACCTCTGTGGTACCCATGAGATCAGTGGAAATTTTACTTCTGGGTACAGAAGTTGGGAGGCCCTTTATGCCCTTCATTTAATTTTTGGCACAAGAGTTGGTAACTGGCAAAGTGCTCCACTGAGCACTTTGATGATGAGAATCATGGGAGGAGCTTGTGGCTGGGGTTTGGGTGACTCTGGTTACTGACTTTAGGCATGGAAAATGAGCAGGTGTGTGTGCAATGAGCAACAGTCTGTGGCTCTGTCCTGAGCAGCAAGAAGGAGATGCCCAAATCTCCAGCTTTGAGCCCTCACAGTTCCTTCTGAAAGGCTTCCTGTCTTTGACTTGTTCCAATCTTCTTATGCGCCCCACAGACACTAACGATCAACCCCACAGACACTAACAATCAAACACCCTGTTCCGGGCTTTGCTCCCACATCCTCACCACCTACCTCATCTTTCTGACCCCACCCTTCTGGTTTGGAACCCCATTTCCACCACAGTCCCCCATCTGGAATGGTCTCATCCAGGTTCCTGGCCACCGTCTCACCTGCCAGCTGCCTCCCAGCCACTGGACACATTGATGCACCTCTCGCTGCATAAGGTCGCCCAGCCGGTTGAGCACTACCAGGTTGAGTGGGATCCCCACGAGGGCAAAGAATATACAGAAGAGATGGGCAGCCGTAGTCTCTGGGCTCAAGTTGCCGTAGCCTGATGCAGGAGGGAGGGGTATTTAAGCAGATCCTTCCCCCAGCTTTGGGGATGGCCCCTGTGGCCCCCTTGGTGCCTACCTAGCTCTGATGAGAAGACAGAGCGGGGCTGGCACACCAGCCCACAGTTGGCCTGTGGACTCCCATTATTTTCTGGCTTCACTACTTGAACACTGACCCCTGCAAGGCTGTGAGAACCTGGGCAAAGGCCTTGGTCTTTCTGAGCCTACTTTCTTGACCTTAAAACGGGGTGCAGGCATTCACTTGCTTTTGGCTAATGAAAGGCCACAATAGGGACGTACTGTCGGTGGGAAGGTGAACCTCTGAGCATCGAGTGCCCCGCCCCGGCCCAGAGAATGGGCGGATGAACATGATAGAAGGTTACCATGCAGGCATCTGGCCTGAAAACCTCAGAAGTATCTCTCTGGGTCTTCCATCTCCTTTCCATTCATGTTTTATTTTGTTTGTGTTAAAAAGGTTTTGTGTTGGCCGGGCTGACCTCAACCTTTTTATGTAACCCTGAACTCCTAATCCTCCTGCCTCCATCTCTCAAGTGCTGAGATCACACAATGATGGTCTGAGTAAGGGCAGGGTTGGGAGTGTGTGAGGGGAGGTAGAAGGTGGGATGGGGTGGGAGATGAGGGGTACTGGGAAAACAAGGCAAGGATCAAAGGGATGCTGGTTGGTTACAAAGAAAGATGGAGCCTAAATCTTCGGTGGGTGAGCCTGCCCCCTAGTGGTTAGTCCTGGGTCATGTGTGTGATGCTGTGGGCAAGGGCAGCTAACCTGCTTTGGTCCCTGGGAACCAGGGCTGCAGGGATCCAGGGCTTTCTGAACCCCTCTGTTTCCACACAACAGCCTCAGGTGCTTTCAAGACAGACAGGTTCCACCTCAGTCTGGCTCGGAAGGGGAAATATGTCTGGAGGACAGTGATAGGGACTGAGGGCCTGGGAGGGTCTGTAGGACTGGGTTGGATGACCAACGTCCTGTCCTCCAGGGCAGCAGTTTCCAAACTGGAATATGTATACAGTTCCCCGGGTGTCTGACGAAATGCAGAAGCCAAGTCCATGGGTCCTGAGGCATGAGATGCTGTTTGCAGGACTGTGGGGGTGTGCTTTCAGATATGACTGCTTTCTTTATAAGGGTGACACCCTCTGGACTGCAATCACTGGCCGGCCCCTCAGGGTGAGGCTACCTCCCAAGCCACACCAGCTTGTCCCCATGCTGCCCTTACTGATGGTAGTGATGGTAGACACAGAAAAGAAGAAAGAGCCCACAAACTCCCAGCGCCCCATGCTGGTGGTACTGCCCAGGAGCTGGGTCCCATCTTTGTATGCTTGAATGATGTCCTGGAAGAGATGCTGCAGTGACCAACAGGATCTTGGGGGACTGAGCCCCTGCACCTCAAGACACCACTATACCCATTCCATACCCACACCAACACCCACACTCCTGTAGAGGCCTCATGTTGTATAGACAGTTTCTCCAAAGTGATGCACTTCCTCCCGTGACTTACAGCAGTCACAAGCCCCTCCCCCAAGTTAAATTTCACAGAAGAAACTGCTGAGGAGAGGGGACTCTTCAGTAGAGCTGCCTACAAGTTGTGTAGTGAGCTCTCGGAATGTGAGGTGTCACCCTTGCCGGGTGATCCAACTATCTTTGAGTCACCCACATTCCCGTAGTAACCCTGGTAAACCCAGCTAGAAATGGGTGAGATTGTTTCTTTGGTCAATCATTGGCCCCATCTAACTTGAAGAGACTTTTTCATGTGTCCCCAGAAAAACACACCCAATATCTTCCTCTCTATTTCAAGTCTGTTTGGGGCCAAGAATCACTGATTCTACTACCCAAGGGCTCCCCAGGGGCAGAGATCTTGGGGCCAACCCCGTCTCCTCCTTATCCTAGAGCCAGCTCAGGTTCTCGGCCATCTCACAGGCTTATATACTCATTTGCTGTCTGCCTCAGTCCTAATCTTGCTGGAAACAATAGGCAGATGTTGTCAAATGACAGACGCAACCTCGGCCTTCACTGGGATAGGAGAACTGAGTTAACTCGGAGATGGGGCCATAGTGGTCGTTTCGGGTATGAAGTGGGCTGTGTAGATGGTTTCGGGTATGAAGGGGGGCTGTGTAGATGGTCTGCAGTTTCTTTCACATCTGTTTCTTTATCTGTAAAATGGAACTCTAACAGTGGAGAGTCCTCTGGCTTCCCAGGGCCATAACACCTTGGGAACCCAGAGAAGCAGAAGCAGAGGCTTCCTGGAAGAAATGACACTCATGCTGTGCTTCCCTGAGGCTCTTTCAACCACAAAGCATTCAGGAAGACAGGACAGTGGAAGCAGAGGCTGGGAACGCATAGTGTGCCTTGGACATAAAATCATGGGGTTCTGAGAAACAGCCACATGTACAGGGCTACACAAAACCAGCCTCCAGGTGATTAACAGGCTTAGCTCTTGGCTGTGCAGCCTTGCAATTTTATCAAATCTCTCTGAGCCTTGGTTCATCATGGAGATGGTAGTGTCTGCTAATGAGGCATTGACGGGGGAGCTGGGCATGGGAAGGACCGAAACAGCAGTGTTTACTGGCGATGGCCAGACAGAGACAGTCCCTAGCTCCAGCTCCTGCCCATTGGCCTGTCCGGAGGATGGGAATTCTCTTCACTCCTGGCCCCTCCTGTCCCACCCAACAATGCTCCCTCTCTCTACAGGGGATTTGGCTTCAGTTTAAGGATTCTGGGACACAGGTCCTGGGGGTCTCTATAATGAAATCTTTGCAAGAGAGTGGCGATTGCACAGAGGCATGCGAGTCTAAGTTCTGTCCCTGCACTCTCTGCAGAGGGAAGTGGAGCAGAACATTAAGGCAAACACTGATTTGCTCCGCTGCCAGCCCCATGGCCCACGGGGCCAGGAAGAGTTCTCCATGGGAAATCCTGGAGGATGAGCCATCTCCTGCCTCCGTACCCTGCAGCGTCCTCGTCCTCTGAGGATCCTCTGGCTCAGGGACCTCTGCTCTTTTCACTGCCCCACTCCTTTTGTCCCTGCCGGCCCTGCAGGTCCAAATACTTCAGGTAAAGTGACCTTAGCCCTAATCCAGTCCAGGCCCCTCACTCTGAGCCCCCTCTCTTCTCAGTTCCGGGCCCCTCACTCTGAGCTCCCTCCCTCCTCCGCTCCGGGTCCCTCACTCTCAGCTCCCTCCCCCCTCTGCTCCGGGCTCTATTTCACCCACCGACACAGACTGAGCCGTTTCTCTCAAGTTCCCACACTCCCACCAGCTTCTGTTCCTTAGAGTCTGGCCACACCCCCAAGGTATTTGCCCTCCCGTCCCTTGAAAGACTAGGTGTGGCCTTTCATCCTTGGCGCTTCGTCTCAGTAACCCCCACACAAGGCTGACCAGAACAAATGATACCTGTCCCCGTGATGACCACATCGGACAACCTTGAAACCTGTGACACAGAGAAGCGATCCTCTGTATTCCTTATGGCTGTGTCTCACTTCCTTAAAGACGGAGCCGGTGCCCCCACTCTTTGCTAGCCCTAGACGCTTTCCACTGGGTTCAGCCCATCTCCATGGTTACCCAACCCTAACCGCCCAAACCTGTTTGTCCCAAGCCTGTTTACTCCACCTCTCGAATAAGGGATAACCTTCCCCAGAGTTACACTGTCCCGGCCAGAGCACTCTTCATCCCTGCCCCACCCACTCCTTCTTTCCCAGGGTGGCACCGCTAGTCCCCTAACCCGGATCAGCTGATCCAGCGCTGGGTCATCCAGATGTGTGAAGTTCTTTAGTCGCTCCCACTTGTCGCGCTGGAAGATGTGGCTGGAGTACCGGGCCGCACGACCTTCCAGTGCCCAGAACACACCGGCGCCCAGCACCAAGTAAGCCAGGTAGGAGAGCAGAAGGACCCCCGTGCCTGATGCCCGACAGACCCGGGCCGAACACGGTGCCTCAGGAGATCGTGGTCCGCACATGGTGGAGAGGAGCCCAGGAGCACTCTGGTAGACAGGAACAGGGAATGGGCAGGAAAGGCCAGGAGGGGCCCTTCTCTAAGCAAATGATCGCTGGTGGCCTTCTTCCTTCTGAGGAGTGCTGCAGGGTGCAATGGCCCTGCCCACCTTCAAGGATCCAATCCCGGTGACAATAACATAACTCACCAGAGAGTTGGAGTGCCCACATCAGCATCAGGGGACCACGGAGGGGTCCCACCTCAGTGCTTCCCTTCAGTGAGAAAGGCTCCTGCAATCCACAGCAGGGAAGAGAAACTTCCAAAGGCTATTGTCACAGGGCTCCTGTCTAAGCTGTGAGACCAGGGACTTCCTCCAAGTGCCTGCTGTGGTCAGTACCATTCTAGGTTCGCTACAATAGATGCACTCAAAAAAAAAAAAAAAAAAAAAAAAAAAAAAAAAAAAAAAGGCCCCAGCTGGGCATGGCTTGTCCGTGTTTGTGGGAGGCAAGAGCATGTGCTAGGGCTCACACTTGCTGCTCCAGAGGAGGTCTCTGAGACCCTATTCACCCAGAGCAAGGCAGGGACCGGTATGTACGGAGCAGATAGAGGGCTTCAGATTTCCCTCCTTTCCTAAGAGACAATAGTCCTGCGGGAGGGAGAGTAGAGAATGTGACCACGGACACGGGTCCTTCCCAGGGACTCCCCTCAACCTCCTGGACTCCCACCCCAATGCTGCAAATACACGGATTCTTAGAAGCCCCCTTGTGACTAGGGAGAGGGGAAGTTCAAGGAAGAGCTAGCTCCTAATCCTTTTAAAACTGAGCATCTGGCAGACAGGGCCAGCCTCTCCTCCCTTCTGCCCACAATGCTGAAATCTGGCAGCAGGCTAGGCTCCAGGGAACTTATTCTTTAAGGCGCCTAGAATCTTTGATTTTTGTCTCTGCATCTCCTCTAAATTACCTTGTAGGCACACCTACCTCCATTTTCTGTTTGGAGAATCACTGGCCACCCTATGTGAAACACCATGGGCTTGGGGCGGAGGTAGATGGGGTAGGATGGGTGGCTGGAATACTTGGGCATCATGCAGAGATGGGGATTTTCTGAGGTCTGGGGTGAGGGGCTCCTCCATTCTTGAGGTCCAGGTCTCTGATGAGCAGTCAGACACAGGAACACCTGTGCAGAAGCAGTGATCCCAGGCTGAGGACCATTGCCAGCCACGCTTGCCCTAGGAGACTCCAGACAGGCTGAGGACCACTGCCAGCCATGCCTGCTCTAGGAGACTCCAGACAGCTGCCAGGCTGAGGACCACCGCCAGCCACGCCTACCCTAGGAAGATCCATACAGCTGCCAGGTTCAGGTTCATGGTGACATAATGCTTGCTGGGGTCTGTGCCTGCCAGGGAAGGTGATGGCTGGTGTCTGAGGGCACAGCCACCCCCAGATTCCACAGAGGTGCTCTCTCCCTGCTGGACCTCCAAAAAGTACCAATGATGGGGAAAGCAGAATTCTGACAAATTCCACCAAGAGCCCACAGGAGTCCCAGAGATAGCAGCCTCACCTGGTACCTCCATGTGCCCAGATTCTACTGAGTAGCCACCAGGATAGTTAATTCTTTCTCACAGAGAACACAGTCCCCAAAGTCAATGGTGCTGAGGGTGATGATGAAGGCAAAGTAGAAGCCTTCGCCAAAGCTCCAGCCCTCCATGTCGTTGAGTAACATGGTGTGAAGATGAGAATGACCAGGGCCCCCAGGGTCAGGAGCAGAGCGAGGCCCAGGACCTGCAGGAGCTGAGAACACCTAGAAAGTTCCAGGAATACTTGCAGCTCTCTGTCCTAAGGAGCTCCGGAAGACATCGTGCTACCTAGAAATACCTGGGATGGTCCTCCCACCTGTCCGTGGTCAGATGGGCACGCAGCCCTGTTCCCAGGTCAAGGAAGACCACATTGAGCAGGATGCTTATCAGGGCAAGAAGACCCAGAAGGCCTGCCCAGCCTCCGTGCTGAGTGCCAGGTTTCTGTAGCCTGCTGGGCAAGGGAGCATGCGCAGCAGGGGCAGAGAGAGACCAGAGCTGCCTCCTGCCCACCCCCACCCTCAGCTCCAGCAGGGGCTTGTCTCCATCACTGCTGGGGGAGGAAAGAAAGTTGTTCCCATGGCACTCATCCTAACCTCTGCTAGAACAATCTCTGCTTAGAGAAGGCTCTTCTACAGTGATGCTGCCCCCATGAAGCCCTCCCGAGTGCCACCTTCGGCCTCCCTGCCAGACATGATTCCCCGAGATGGTTTATATAATTTCTATCTAATTATCCCCATTTGCCTTATGTAATCACAGCCATTCAGTCCCTCTTTAGTGAACTGGGAGCCCAACACTCATATTCTAACACTCTCCCTGGAATACCAAGGAAGGTGTTTGGGATTGGATTGGGGCGTATGTAACTAAACGGAAGGGAGGCCAGTGTGAGAGACTGGGGGGGGGCGGGGGTTCTGCCGATACCCCATCTCCTTGGGATATTGGGATGTTGCCTGCAGCTTTGAGAGGCAGTCAGTGCCCAATGACCTTCCTTCACTCTCTCTCTGAGAGGACGTTCTGGTCTGTGGCCAGCTGCATTAACACACCAGGCCCAGCTCGAGGGGAACCCAGCCCCCACAGCAGCAGGTGTGCACGCCTTACTGCCTTCCTCTGCTACTGTCTCACCATGCCCCCATCTGTGCTTCCTGTGCCCCCACCTGGATAAACCACATCCTCGCCCCAGTGATTGCTTTTGGAAGAGATGGCAAGAGCAAAGTCAAGGGAGGCCCCTCCCTGCACCGGCTCCTCCCTCACCTGTGATGGTGACCACTGTGCCCTCAAAGAAGAAACTGCTTCTGAAGTCCCAGTTGCTGGGGTTGCCTTTGTGGTTCACTCCTGTCACCCAGGCTTCCAGGATCACCCGTTGGAGTGGCATGGTCAGAAAGGAAGGGGCTAACGGTTACTGAGGGCCAGCTGTCACCAAGCAGCTCTCAGGAGGATGATTTTATGTGCTTAAGTTGAATAAGTCTCTTAATTCACATCATTCCTATTTCACAGAAGGAACCGTGAAATCTCTGAGTGGCCAAGGCTGGCCAAGGTGTGTGCTCTAACAGGTGGAGAGCTGAGGGCTGGTGACAGGAAATGACAAACATGCAAACATTAGCTAGGACAAGGTGAGGCTGATGTTGGATACTTCTAGAAGGGTCTGCTGGGGAAGATGGGGTCTGGGGGACTTCGCTCCCATGCGGCATGCGGTGGGAGCCAGGGCATCCAGGGAGCCGGCCGCTTTGCTCTCTGGCGCCCTCTAGTGATCATAGCCTATGCCTGCAGAAGAAATTAACGTTAGAAGCCCAGGAGAGAGGCTATCTGTGCACATGTGATGTGTTGTCTGTGTGTGCAGTGCAGTGCTCTGTGTTACATGGGTGTGTATGATTTGTGTGTCTGTGTTTTGTGTTTCTAGGGAAGAAGGCTTGGCAGGTTCAAGCCTGAGCCCTCCTGAGGATCGTGCAGGACTCTCTCCCCACAACGCTAGCCCTCTTCCATCTAGCGGTAAACTTGTCCCAGGGAGCATCAGCTCATTCTTGTTACCCAGCAGTGCTCCAGAGCTGGGGACCATGGGAAGTATGGCTGCTACTCCTGCCTCTCTTTCCTGTGGGAGCTGATTTTCACCTGCTGGGTGGAGGCCTCCTGGCCCTCACTCGGGCAGGAATTAGCTTCTTAATGCTTTGGCTTCCTCTTTCCCATGCATGTATAGAACTGGGCCAGATATTCCGGAGCATGTCCCCTCCCTGGAGACCCCCACTCTCGGGGACAGCATTTGCCTCTGACCTCCCTAAGGGCTCTGGGTGTGGGTGAGTGGCCTCAAGTGACTGCGGCATCTTCGTCTCCAAGAATCCAGTGGTGAAGGAGGAAGGGGTGGGTGTACAGCTGTCCTCATGGAATCATGTCCGGACACTACACTCTTCACCGTTTATGGTGCAGTGTATGAGTTCCCCAGAGACTGGGTTTCCCCCAGATGTTACCCTAGTGTGTCTCTGCCTCCAAGCTCCACCTGCTCAATGAGACTGAGGATTTGAAAGGACACATTTCCTAGTGAGTCCCTGGTCCCAAACACTGGCCCCTTTGGGCTACAGCCAGACCTAGAGCCTTGGTCTTGATTGCAGAACCAGTTTGAGCCTGGCCACGGTCTGCCCACTGCAGACCTGATTCTACCTCCAGGGCTGAGGTAGGAGAAGGCTTGAGGTGTCCCTGTCTCTGGCTCACTTCTGGGATGTTGTGGTGCCTGAAGGTGAGTACCATCTCTGAGTAAAATATATGCAGGGGTGAGGAATACTATGTATACTGGAAAAGCAGGGACAGGACTCTCTACTGACACTTCTTCCTGTGGCCTAGCAGCTCTCAGTCCCAAGAAAGTCTCTGGGGCCTCAGCATCACCTGAGTCAGCAGGTCTGAGTGGGGTCTGAAATGTCATTCTCTAATAAGCTCTCAGGTGCTGGTGCTAGTGGAGGTGCTGGTGCTGGAGGTGGTGCTGGTTGAGGTGTTGGTGCTGGAGGTGCTGGTGGAGGTGCTGAAGTGGTGCTGGTATTGGTGCTGGCGAAGGTGCTGGAGGTGGTGCTGGTGGAGGTGTTGAGGTGATAGAGGTGCTGGTGGAGGTGTTGGTGCTGGAGGTGGTGCTGGTGGCGGTGCTGGTGCTGGAGCTGGTGGAGGTGCTGGTGCTGAGGGGGTGGTGCTGAGGTGGAGGTGCTGAGGGTCCACGGACCCTACTCTGAGAACTTTCCCTTTGTCAGTACCCTGCCTGCAGTGTGTGTGCTAATCGGTGTAGTGAAGTGTAAAGGGAACCCAGCAAGAAGCATGGGTCTGAGTTCTATCTCAGCCAATGACTGCATCTCCCTGGGACTCTGCCCCCATTTGTAAGCTAAAGAAGTCCCAGGATGGGGCGTCACAAGGAAACAGAGGTCTGGTCTCCCACCCCTTATCATGTGTCAGACACGCTCACTAGTGGCCAGTTATCACTCTGC